GACATCTTCAGTAATAGACTCAGTTGTCTATTCAGTCTTAGTCTAAAGCTCTGCTTCAACCAGTATACACTCTCAAAACCACTGTCAGTTACAGTGGCTCAGTGTACAAGTCTAGTGCAAGTATCACATGCCAGCCCTACACATATCAGTATCAGTATCAGTATCAGTATCAATCATAAGTTGAACTCCTGATCCTCAGTTGTTAGGTCTCTTAACATCAGTGGCCAGCATTTGAAGGAACAGGAGTAACATCCCCTGTCCCCTTAACCCCTACTCCATTTACTGACCTACTCAGTAGTGAACCAAGTTGCCCCCCTTGCCACTGCCACTCTTGTTGTCACTAACAATCATCCACACCTCCTACTCCTAGTCCTTCTGGGCCTTTTCCTTATCACACTCCTCTCCACCCTCACCCTCACCCTCATCATGTTAAGGGACCTAACAACTGAGGATCAGGAGTTCAACTGTTAACTGGTACTAGGACTTATACATGCTATAGTCCTACACTGATACTAGACTTTGGTAGACTGAGCTGCTATATCTGATAGTGGTTTGAGAGTGTATACTGGTTGAAGCCAGGCTTCAGACTAAGACTGAGACTTGAATAGACAACTGAGTCTATTACTGAAGATGTCCCTATGAAGGTATATAGGGAACAAGAGGACAAAACTAAAGTATAGTAGCAAAGGTAGTGCTACTTAAATAGGACAGAGAAAATAGAGTTTAATAAGTATGAAACACTGAGTTGGATCAGCGATGAGGATGAAACGTGATAGAGATGAAACATGATGTAAGTGAAACATGATATAGGTGAAATGTGATAGATATGAAACACTGATGTAGATGAAACACATCAGTGATGAGATCAGTTGTACAGTTACAGGGTCAACAATGAATAGTTAGGAAAAGAAAAAGAACCCCCCTCCAATGCTGTAACATTATCCCCCCCTCCAGATTTGTTGTTCAGAGTTTCCATTGAGCACGACATTCCTGCAGGTACCTGGGTTCCTTGGTTGGACAAGGGAGTTGTCCCAGCTGTACATTGGTGGTAATGTGAAATTTATGACGAGGGTGTAGGAGTCCGCAATAAGAGCACAACCAATGCCAACACTCACTTTGAAGATGGCCATTGACCTCACATTTGATACAGAAGTGAAGGTGTTGGGGCATGGCGCCAGAAGGAGGAGTGATAATTGAAAATTCATGGTGTTTGAGACATTCCTCTAGATTTGCAGCTTTGAGACACATCCAACATTGGCTCATTTCTTCTTCTGTGTGGAGAAGTTCAGCCCCTATAGATCATCATGTGGCAAGGAGTAGATCAATCTTCGTGTCGATGGCTCTAAATTGATCCACTTTGTCAGTTACTCCTGGATCCTTAATGTCTTGGAGTGATGTCCAAAGACTCTCCAATAGATTATTGTCTCATATCAGCAAATATTCCCAAGTGCCCTCTTCCTATTCTTTGTCCGAAGTGTTCCAGTTCCCTACAGGCTCCACAGTGTGCAATGCCACTGCAGCAGTAGTTGATACCCATCATAGTCTGAATGCAGGATTGCCATTGATAGGAACACCCATGGGAGGTCAAGTGACAAAATTAGAGTATGCTCTGGGGAAGTGAGGAAGAACTCGTTCCAAAGGATCAACATCTTGTACAGGGGTGGATGTATTGAATGGGATGGATCACCAGGATCTGGTAACATCATTTGAGGGACATTGGATTATGTCATCGCTGTAGACTACAAACTCCTGGGGGTCACTGCTATGCCCTTCTGATGCTGTGATGTACTCACTGACATTAGCTAATAGTTGTAGATTGAGAGCATGGTTGAAGCTACCATCATCAGAGATGTCAGAGACAAGAGGTGGCATGCTGGGAGAATTAATAGATGCAGTGTTGAGACTGTCAGGGTTGGGAGCAGATGAGACATTCATAGGCGATGAGGATGGAAAAACCTGTGCAGGAGCAATGTGGTAAGATCCAGTGGATGCTTCTGAGTTATTGTGAGAAAGTTCCAGGGGTCCAGGGAATTGATGTAGAACTACAGTGTCACTATTCGAGGAGTCTGAGGGTCTTGGGATAAGGAATGGTTGACAAGTGACATTTGGTAAGGGAGCAAATGGGCATCAGAAGCCTCCATTATCAAGGAATTCCAGAGAAGAGTTGTCAGATTCTTGCTGGGAAGGGAAGCTCAGAATCGGTTGCCTAGGAACTGGCATTTCTATTATTCCTGATGTGAAATGCTCCTCTAACGTCTGGAGGTGGGAAGGGTAAGGGGTTGGCACTCTTTGGGGACCAGTTGTTGGGGAATTATTGTTCCTAGGAGCCAAAGGGCAATAGCGTGGGTCAGGACTAGAAGTTGCATTGTTGTTTCTAGCGCAGGTATTTCACTCAGCAGGCATAGGGAAGAATCAAAGGGGGAATTTTTGAGAAGACCAGGCCCAGAATACAAATACAGGCAACTACTACAGACAAAAACAAGACAAGACCCCCAAACACTAATCTTGATGTTCCCTGATGTACTCAAAGTACACCTGCATCGGGTTGTTGCTGTCATGATTGGCAGCAATTACTGGGAGGGTGGTGGTCGTATGCAGGAGGGGGCACTGTGCAGTGATGGCAATGTTGAATGCCCACTGATGTTCTCGCTCGAGGTGGCAAATGGTAAGACAAAGGAGGAGGGGGATGATGAGGGTGAGGGCGAGTACCAAGAGGAGAATGGTGAGGATGAGGCCCAGAAGGGCTAGGAGGAGGAGGTTGGTGTGTTTGTCAGCAATGATGAGGGTGGTGGTGGTGAGGGGGGCAATTTGGTTCACCACTGAGGAGATCAGTAAATGGAGTAGGGGTAAGTTTGACTGGGGATGTTACTTGTACGCCTGTGGGCCACTCAGGGGTTTGGTCAACAATAGGGGTGGTTGGTTGGTGGGTGAGGATGACTTCAACCTTGTAGGTCTCTTTGAAGTAGAGGAAAGCGAGGGTGAGGATGAGGATGAGGGTGGTGGCAAGGAACCAGGTGAGGATGAGGAGTGCGGTGAGGACAGTGGTGGATGCCATTACAGGTATAGAGAGAGATAGCTCTTATAAAGAGTCACTCTTTGTTTGGCTGCAGGAAGTCTGCCAAAGCATCTTTTGCATGTGATAGCTCAGTTTTTGGCAGCCAGGAGTCATCCAAAGTCAGGTATCCTTTCCATCGTACCCAGTACAGTGTTTGCTTGCCGGCAGTCTTTGAATCAATGATACGTTCAATTTCAAACTCCTCCTGGTTCTTGATTAGTTCCAGTGGAGGTCGGAGGTAGTTCTTCTCATGCATTGTTGTTTCCAAATAAGGATAGAGTAACCCTGCATGGAACACAGGGTGAATCTTCCATTTGGGTGGTAGTTTCAAGCAGTAGACAACTGATGACAGCTTCTGATCAATGGTGAAGGGTCCATATTGTTTCAGGCCAAGTTTTGCTTTTGGATGAAGGCCTTTGAGGTTAGTGGCTTCCAGCCATACTTTTTGTCCAGGTGTATATTTGACAAACTTGTCCTTATTCTGTTTTTTGACTGTTTCTTCTGCTAGTCGAATACTGGATTGGATCTCCATGCAAAGATGTGCTAGCTGGATCAGCCTAGAAGCAATGTCCAGAGCATCAGCTGTTCTCACAGTGAGAATATTATGCTGAGGTTGGTAACCCATGAGCACCTGGAAGGGAGACATCTTGATTGCATCATGATATCTGTTGTTATGTGCAAATTCTGCTAGTGGCAGATGATGTGTCCAGTCTGTTGCTTGGTGATTGCGAAAGATCTGAAGATAATGTTACAGCCTTGAAGGGGGGGTTCTTTTTCTTTCCTAACTATTCATCATTGACCCTGTAACTGTACAACTGATCCCATCACCTGATGTGTTTCACCTACATCAATGTTTCATATCTATCATGCTTCATCTATATCATATTTCACTTGCATCATGTTTGATATCTATCACGTCTCATCTTCATCACTGATACAACCCAGTGAAACCTGTTTCATATGCATCACTGATCCAACTCAGTGTTTCATACTTATTAGACTCTATTTGCTTTGCACTATTTAAGTAGCACTGCTTCCACTACTGTACTTTAGTTTTGTCCTCTTG